CTAAACTCGGCTGGGAGATTATTAGTCCAGGTGATGATGAGTCTCATGTTAGTTTCGGTGCTCACGGTCATGATAATCAAGAAACATCTATGCATCCGATATTTTACGCATTCGGACCGGCATTTCGAACTAATTTACAAGTGGAATCATTTCGTAGCGTTGACTTCTATCCGTTGATGTCGCATGTACTTCAGCTGAAAGAAGTAGAAACCAATGGTTCATTCAACAATGTTCAAGGTATTCTCAAGGAATTCTTCAAAACGGATATTCTTAACACAATTCACACATTAATTACTAAAACAACAGTGAAACTACGAAATTGGGGATACGTGGAGATTGTCTGCTTAATTTCAGTGATTTTAATGGGTCTGGTCTTTACTATTGTTGCCTGTCGATATTCGAAACAGTTAGTCTATGTTCAATCGCAATATGAACCGATTCGTTACCGTTTGTTGAGTATCACGGAAGGTTCAACGAATAATTTTGTGGCTAGCGATAGTGACGCTGACGAGGTGATCAATTGACAATCAATTATTTATTTATTTATTTGTTTTTTCTGTTTTATTTTTTATTGGACTGTGGTGTTTGATAAATAATATTCTGTTATAAAGTTAAAGCAATAATTTTGGTTTTATATTGAGAAAACAGTTATAGCACGATACACAACGTGTCACTTCGCTGATCGGTACTTCTTCAGATTGACGACACCCTCATCTGATCGGTGAACTTTATGAGAGAAAAGAAAAGAGAAATTATTGGCTTATCCACTTAATAGATAGGATGATCGATAGAGAGAGGGGTCTTGTTTATAATCTAAAGAAATAATGATCTATAGAAGGATCAGTTTAATATATTTGAATGAGATTATCGATCATTTAATTAATTATGTTTTATAAATAACACTCCCTGGCAGTAGCGGATTTCATTCACAATGGCTTATTCTCCTATTCCAGCTCTTGATGACCTTTCTGTTCGTGAAAGGAATAATCTAACCGATGATTTAGCAAAAACTATTAGTTTTTGTCAACGTGTCGGCTTATTACATACTTATCCAGCTGAATTCTGTCCAAAAAAAACACAGTAATTGGTATTTAGGATCATGTTCAAAGTCGATTGATAAATGCAAATGGCGCTGTCGAGTATGTAAGTCGTCTCGTTCTCTACGTAAAGATACTTTTTTTGAGCATAGTAAGCTTACAATACAACAAATACTAGATCTCAAGTTGTATCGGTGTCAGGGTTTAGACTCACATAAATTTATTAGACGTAACATTCAAATATTAGGTGATGCTACGATAGTCGATTGGAAAAATTTTATTCGAGATTGATGCGGTGAGTATCTTATCCGACACCCAGCAGTGACAGGCGGTGTCGGACACATAGTCGAGATCGATGAGAGTGCGTGAACGAAGAGAAAGTACAATAGAGGGAGAGTCGTAGCTACTGAGGAGGTGGAGAATCTCAAATTATTACCACTTTTCACCAAGTACCTCTTGTGAAAATTTTGCACTACGTTAGAAATAAACGACTAAGATCCTGTTCAAATCAAAGTCACGCTATTATCTTCTCAGCGCGAGATTCACTTCTCTATATAAATTGCAAATTTCCCTTGTCAAGCGAATAGATGAACGGTGCCGATCGATCCCGTTTATTTCCGACAGAAAGCTGTCGGAAATTCAACGGGATCCCAACCGACGGAATCGGACATTGGAACAAATCGGAACATGTACATAATTGATCTATATCCTGTTGGATTCCGGTGATTGGTTTGATTCACGTGTGTACCTATCAATATGTTTTGTGGAAATAATTGAACATAAATATCTGAACCGATTTGAATCAGAATGTTAACTGGTTTAGTTTGAAGGAAATAACGGTAATTACATAAATAAAATGTGTTGAGATGAGAAAGACTGCAAGTTGGTAATTCATGTTGGAATGTAAGATGAAATTGCAAAATGTGTGGCGTGTGAGTTTGTTGACGAACATCAGACGAAGATGTTGAAAAATGACTTCAAAGGAGCGAAGTCGAAAAAGCTCGTGATGCATAGCTGAATTAGTGCCTCTCATTTATTTAAGAATGGATACATATGTAATCAGATCGTGTACAATCTGCATAACTAGACGATCACATGAAGATATAATTGTATACCTTCGGCGTAGAGTCACAAGCAATAAATAGAACGACAAAAAGAAATTGAACAATCAAGTTTTTTGTCCAATGTTTTCGATTAACCAAAGTTTAAACTTTTAAAAGTGTTTCGTAGCGTGTTTTTGATATATCATCGATATTCTTTGATTTTCTTGGCAATGAGTGTGTAGAGATAAAAAAGATATACATACCACAAGAACTGCGTGGGTCGAAGAGATATATGTATAGCGAACCGAAGGAAGGAAAGAAAGAAAAACAACACATGCAAACCAACTGATCGAGGGTATATAGATATGGAAAGCAGAAAAACGAGGATAGCATATGTAAATCAATCGATGAAATGATTTCTGTATACGGCATATGTTCTCTGTCTTTTTCCTATTTAAATCGACTTTATATTGATTGAAACTATAAACTGCGGGTACTAATCATTATAAGCTTCGATTAAAGTAGGGTTTCATCGCGTGCTGTAAGAAATAAGCAAAAACCGTATATTCGATTGTGTTCTACTTGAAGAGAGCAGTATTATTTCCATATATTCTTCTTTTAAATAATTGTTGTCATATTGTTCACAAGTGAAAAAGTTGTTTTTTTTTCGTTTTGAGATTCAAAATACAAGTACCTCACTCAATCTTTCAATTCTACATGTCAAGACGTTCTTTCATCAATGATGACAAATTAATTTCAGAGATGGTTCTAACAAATATATCGTCAGTATATCAGGTGAATCTTGATATGCCGACCACTTTGAACGCACAAACGATGCAATTATTATCAGCATATAAGGATTTGCGTAATTATCAACCGTGTTTATCATTTTTCTTATCGTTGGGAATGATGTCTCACTTTTTACAAGGTTCTTATTATACACATTATAGCTCAAGTGATCGGCATCCTGTGCAACCCTACTTGTGGGTATTAGGACCTAGTGGTATGTTGAAATAATGTGTAATTGAACAACAGATAGATAATAAGTACTTTGCTCACTAAAGATATGAACAGTCATTCTACTGATTAGTGGCGAAGAGAAAGTTTTTTTTGCGTCGTTGCTGGTTCAATGCTCGTAGTTACATCAGAGATGCTTGTGAAGCATTGACTTTCAGATATTTTATACCAATATTAATATGAGAAATTGGAATATATCTCGATCTACAGTTTACATTAGCTGTGCTTATAAGTGCTCTAAGATGTTTACAAAGTTTACTATGTTGCAAATCGTGAAAAATTATTAATGATAGAAAAATACTGGAATTCGAATACAGTCGAGAGCAAAACGATAGATCCGTTGGTGTCAACTGAGACATTTTCATAGAGATAATATTTCTTCTAATACTTGAATAGATGTTTTCACTCTAAATTAAACATTTGATATCGTCGAAGTGGATTAATCGAGTGCTGATTTAGAAATTCTTCTCGTTTTTTTATTTCATTATGAGAACTTTTGAAGGTATTCTTTTATATTAGACGTATAAAAGCGCCAATTTAAACATTTTTTTCATTTTTCTCTCTATAAGAGAAAGAACTATCAATAGATGTATGTTTATCTAGTTTCTTTCTTCAGACGAAACCGCATGCCATCTTTGAAGGGAATCTGTTGATACGCTGTTCTCTATTTATGACTTCATTGTATTGTTAAATTGATCGGTCCACACGCTAGATGAGAGCTTAGCACTGTTTTCAACTCATTTTCCCTCGACTGTAAGGAGGGTCATATGGAATAAAATTGTTTGTTTGTTTGTTTGTGGCAAAACGTGGGCGACCAGTGGTGTCTGCAGGGTGGCACGGTGTGACCCCTCATGGCCACGGGTGTGGGCGAGAGTCAAGGGCCAAGAGTGAAAGATTAAAAAATATTTTTCTCGAAATATTTGCCATTTGAAGAGTAGTCTTTTCCGATCGAACCAATGGTCGACGGAAGAGCATATTTATAGTGTCGAGATATGACTTGAGAGCTCAACTAAGAATTTACTAACTCGGCAATTTGGCTGAGCAAATACTGTATTGGGAAAATAGACGAAGACTCGCCACATGGTCTCTTGAGAAAAAGTAGTTTCAATGGTATCTATCTGTGCCATGATTGAAGGCAAAAAATGACAGAAACGTCACGAATAGAGCGTGGAGATAGATGAGGCTGATTGATAATTGTCGCAAATCATAAAATGGATCGATAGCTACCACGCGATATCAGACTGTGAAATTAGATGTGTAGGATACATGAATAATGCATTGAACATCTTTTGTATAGTTCTAATAACAAGAGTGCAATGGGAAGAAAATCAGTCAAGCGTTCAGCGAGAGTACCCGACCAGCGATACTGGTGATAAATTCACAATAGAAAAGACCTTTTATATTCTCACATTTGTTTTACAGAGGCAATAAACTATTTTGTTTGCGAGAGTTATTAAATAGTTGAACAGAAAAAGTTTCACTGTTTCATCGTACGTGAAGTTGCTAGATTGATTCGCCTCATTAATAGCACAGGCAGACAGTATATCTGTCTTCCACAGTCGAGGGTGAAGTGAGTCGGCACGACAAACGCTACTTGTGTGTAACAGCTGAGAAAAACTGTTTCTATAAATACCATAAACATTTCATGTACAGATTTTGAATCAGATATAATAAATATATGAAAAGAAGAGATTTCCAACAAAAAAACTTGGCTCTGAAAGGGTTAGTGCGCTCAAGGATGATTAATTTAGATAAATTTATTAAGTCATCCTCGCACCCTTTTTTCTATACTTGTATCATTTCATAATTTTTAAACAATATCTTTTTTTCTGCTAGAAAACAAATGGCAACATGCGTTTATTGGAGAGAACAAAGCATCTGTTCGTTTCATTTACAAATGGAACTGATAATGAAATTCACGTCCCATACGGGAATATTTTACTTCATTCAATAAAACGGAACAAATGAGTTTATGTTAGAAGAGAGAAGAGAATTGCTCACTTTTTTTTTTATTTCAGTTGCAAAATGTTTTATTTAAAATATGTTTGGTCTCTTACTTTTTTACATTTCACGTATGCTACACTTAAATTCAATCTGTACTATACAGATTCGATAAGTAATACTTCATTACAGTATAATTGTTTACGTATTGTCACTTCGACACGTGGAAGAAATACGAATAATCAACAAAAATTTCGTCTTAATCCTGAAACTGACACAATTAATCTTGAAATAATGTCATATTGTATGAACGAGTTCTCACCAAGCTTTCATATTGAAGAAAAAACAGATGATGATAAGAAATTTACTTTTTATGATCTTTCAAAAAAGAATATTACTAGTGAACAATTATATCTTTGGTCAGCACCAATTGATCTTATTGAAAAATATCAATCCTATTTAAACAAACAATCAGAAGCCAATGAAATCTTCTATAATTGTACATTACCCAGATTTGGTCTTCAATGTCAATATGAATTTATCTCTTCTCATTCTAATTATTCATCCATACATGAACTTATTCATAAATATTATACAACAAATATCTATAATTCAGCTAGTTTAACCTGTTATAAGCATTTAGAATGTTATCATGGTTCGAATCTCGTATGTTTAGATTGGATTGACATTTGCAATGGTCATATCGATTGTATTGATAATGGAATAGATGAAGAATATTGTTGGCAACTTGTAATAAACCCATGTAATGAGAATGAATTTCAGTGTCATAACGGACAATGTATTCCGAAGATATTTTATCAAGATGATAAAAATATTTTTGATTGTGTTGATGCTTCGGATGAAATTTTAAGTTATCGAAATCTCCCAAATCTATGTCATACACGTGAACCAACATTCGGATGCGAAGATAGAATATGTAAAGAAGGATTGTCAACAAGTTCATGTGTGAATAAAAGAAAACCTTTACCCATGAATACGATATTTTCGATTCGAGATAATTCTACAAGCGATGATTGTTGGTTTGCAATAAGATGTATGTTCGATCGATTATATTCCAAAGAACTATTTTGTCAAAAAGTTTATGCAGAACGCACACATCGAAATACGTTATTAGATACCTGCCCAGAAATACTTTTTGTACCTAATTATCCAATTTTATTTGGCGATACTTATATCATTATGTACAAAAATCAATTAAAAGAGCTAAGCAATGACTCGTTTTTATCGCCATATATTTTTTCTAATTCATCTTTTCGTTATGATAGTTCTCTTAATATTTTGTCGGAGATTCATTTTAAAAGTAATCCGTTCGAAATTTCAACTGGTAATACAGATAGTGAACTAATAATACAATATTACCAATATCTTGACGATGTTTATGGAAATCTGAAACGACACCGTCTTTATTTAGACTGCGCATCGATAAATTGTAATAGATCGCATATCTACCAATGCACAAATTCATCAAAATATATTTTACTACATCGCCTTTTTGATATAAATGTTGACTGTCCACACAAGGATGATGAAAATATGTCAATTATGAAAACGAATCCTAATTTGAAGGAACAATTACAAAAAAGTCATTTTTATTGTCATGCAGGGAACAAATATCTTTCGCCAGGTTTGATTAATAATAATATCTGTGATTGTCCAGATAATGTACTAGGTTTATGTGTAGATGAAAATGTTGGAGATGAGGATATTACAAGAGAAATATTGTTTCCAACAGTTTGTGATGGATTTCAAGAATTATTACCAATTCTCATAGAAAATCAAAATCATACGGATGAAACAGAATGTCAACAATGGGAATGTGACAATGTTTATACGCATTGTGATGGTGTATGGAATTGTGATAATGGTGCAGATGAAACTGGTTGTGATCAAATATCAAGATTAATGTGTTCTATAAACCAACATTTATGTGTTTCTATATCAACATATAAATTAACTTGTGTAGATCTTAGTAGAATAAATGACGGTAAACTTGACTGTATTGGTGGTACTGATGAACCAAGACGAACGATGCACTTACCACAACCTAGTGGTTTAAAACGTTATGCATATATATTCACTTGTATGAATCACACAGTTAGTCCCGATTTATTACCTTTCATGTTATGTAACGGTCACACTGTATGTAAGTATGAGGATGATGAAAAGTTTTGTGATACAGATCAAACAAATTTCGCACATCGTGGAATTTGTCTATCAAATAATATATACTATGGTTCACATGCTGAGAAGTTCTTATGTGGATTTGTAACGATTAAATACAAACGAGCGTATATATTTTTTAAACTTGATAATGTCATTAACTTGCCCAAGAGAATTAGTGAAGATAGTATTGATCATTCAAGTTTAGCTTCTCAGCTTAAATTTCATTGCCATCGTGGTCTTAATTTACGTGTTTGGCCAAATAATGATCGAATATGTCTTTGTCCGCCAAGTTATTATGGTGATGATTGCCAATATCAAAATCAACGTATTAGTCTTGTTATCAAATTTCGAGCTTTATCGGATTCATGGCGAATAGAATTTGCAATAATTATTTCACTTATTGATAATAGTGATGATCGAATTGTTCATTCATATGAACGAATAACATATTTATCATTGAAAGATTGTAAAACCAAATTTCATTTTTATCTTCTTTATTCAACTCGACCGAAGGATTCAATGAAAAACTATTCGATACATATAGATTTCTATGAACGAAAAACTTTAAATCATCGAGGAAGTTTATTATATCCCATTCTTTTCCCATTTTTACCTGTGTATCGTCTTGCATTAATCGTTGATATACCTCCAGCTAGTAATATTCAAAGTCAAATTTGTTCAAAAAATCAATGTAAACATGGAAAATGTATTAAATACGTAAATAATCTCGATTTCTGTCAATGTAAAGAAGGATGGTATGGACGAGATTGTACTAAAAGATATATCCATACATGTTCATCGGATTCATTATCAATTGGAATCTCAGCTAATCAACGATCAATATGTGTTTGTCCACCAAATAAATTTGGTCCTCGATGTCTACTCTCGATTAATACAATGTGTCAAAGCAATCATCAGACAACATGTCAGCATGGTGGTCAATGTGTTCCAACTAATCCTGAGATGATATCTAATCAAGAATTTACATGCGTTTGTGAAAGCAATTACAGTGGAGATCGATGTGAAACAATTGATACTGTAATTAGTTTATCATTTCATACAGATATTCTTCTATCACACGAATTGTATATCCATTTTATTCGAATTATGAATAATTTAACACATCAACGATCAACAACCGCTCGTTCGCTTACAGTTAAAGAAGATTTAATTAATATAACATGGCCGCAACCATTTCATATTGTTTTTATTGATATTTCGAATAAGTCTTATTATTTAGTTGCTGTTGAAAATATTTATATTCCATCAAGAAATATCAATAAAATGATTAAATCATCCGACCGTTGTTTACATATAAATGAATTTTCATTAAACAAAACATTAGTTCAATGGCATATTCGTCGTGTTAAATATTATCATTTACTCTGTCAAAATCAATCAGTAAATTTTCCTTGTTTTTATGATGATTTGCAGATATGTTTATGTTATCAATATGGTGGAAAACGTTTAGCGAATTGTTTTAATTTTGATCATAATATGACATTTAATTGTGAAGGCCAAAGTGAATGTGAAAATCATGGTAAATGCTTTGAAGATCAATCTGAATGTCCAACAACATCGATTTGTTTATGTCCGCCATGTTATTTTGGACAACGTTGTCAACTTACAACTAAAGGTTCTGGTTTATCTCTTGATGTTATATTAGGTTATCAAATATTACCAAATCTAAATATTAATAATCAACCATTTATTATAAAATTAAATTATGCATTAGCTATAATCTTTCTCATTCTTGGATTTCTTAATGGTATTCTTTCTCTCATGACATTTCTCAATAAAACAATATGTAAAGTTGGTTGTGGTTTGTATTTATTAACTTTATCAATAATAAGTTTACTGATAACAATTTTCTTTGGATTGAAATTTTTTATTCTTCTTTATTCTCATATGTCAATTCTAAGAAATGAAACATTTTTACGTCATCAATGTTATATATTTGATTTTAGTTTACGTTTGTTTCTTTCAATTTCTCAATGGTTAAATGCATGTATAGCGATTGAACGAACTATTACAGTGATAAATGGGGTGAATTTTGATAAGGAAAAAAGTAAAAAAACAGCTCAAATTATAATTATTAGTCTTTTTATTATTACGGGTAGTAGTTGTATTCATGATTTAATTTATCGCGAATTGATAACTGAAATAAAATCTGATGATACTCGTCTAAATCAATTCTGGTGTGTTGTTCGTTATTCATCAAAGTTAGAAATCTATAATTCTCTTATACATACATTTCATATTATTGGTCCATTTATTATTAATTTAGCATCTGTTGTAATTCTCATATTAAAAAAAACTCGACAAGAATCAAATCTTCATAAGCAACAATCTTATAAACTTATTTTACGTAAAACAATTAAAGAACATCGAAATTTATTAACTGCTCCAATTGTTTTAGTTATTCTTGGTATCCCACGTATAATTCTTATATTTGTATCAAAATGTATGAAATCATCAAATGATGCATGGTTATTTCTTACTGGATATTTTATTTCATTGATTCCACCAATGTTAATCTTTTTAATATTTATTTTACCGTCAACATTTTATAAAGAAATATTTTACAAAACTTTTAAACCGCATATATTCAATATTTTACGATGGTTTGGTTTGATACAATAAAATAATTCAAATGGTGAGGGCTGGTGACAATTTTTTCTCTCGGTAATTCATATCGCAAAGCACATCATCTGATAGAGAATTAGATTGTGAATGTAGCACATGTTCTCAGGCGAATCCGGACAAGAATTACTCAAATATGATGTCAACTTTATCTACGTTCTCGTTCTATGTAAAATAATTGAAGTTTACCAATAAAGTTCTTTGAAAAGTGCACGAAGTTAAATTTCTTGATGTGGAAAATATTCCAACGTTATTCAAATGTTTAACGTATATTTTTATTGCCAGTTTTTGAAAAGAAGTAATATATCTATTAATTTATAGAATCAACAGTTCTGTATAATTTCAAATCCTCTTCCAGATGGTCAAAAACTAAGTCCTTTTATCGAGCAAAGAGTGTTTGAAAAATATGAAAAGAATCCGAACCCATGTGAAATGCTATACACTAACTATAGTTCAAAACTTGCTATTATTTCACTATCAGTTGTATCGCAGTAATCATAATTAATATTGTCTCTTTCTGTTCAGCGAGCGTATGAATAAAAAGATGTGATGCAAGGCATTAAAACTTAGTTTATATCGTTTATGTGTCGGATATTCTATTAATTTGATACATAAACTCTTAAGTATCACAAACGTATGGCACGTTTTTTTTATGATAAAGCTAACCTAAAAAGATAACAAGAATATACTATACGGAGTAAAACTGAGATAACGAAAGCGCTGATTATAAAAGTCAGTTCTTCCCATTGGCAGAAAGTAAAGATAAAATATTTTGTTTTCTAGAGCTAAGTTAGGTATTGGATCGTAAAGAGCAATGGCCCAGTTAGACAATATTTCAAATATTGAAATAAAAAATAAGGCATACATATAATCTATTCGATTAATATAATAACAAAAAGCTTTTCGTAATTTTAGTCACCATCACTTGTTCGAAATCAAAAGAAAACATCCGCTAATCAGGGAAAAATCTCGTATGTTAATTTTAATCCTTCGCTTAACGAGGAAATGCACGACTTGATTTCAGATGTGAACATGTTCATTATAAAAGATGTATGTTACTTTTGGCTTGTGTCATATTAATTCCGATAGCTATTACTGTTCCAATGGTTCTCGTCAACAAGAAAAAGGCGAACAGCAGTACAACACCATCATCGACATCGACAACAGAAGGTATAGCTCTAGGACAAAAAAACCTTTTTCTTTCTCTTTTCCTTTATCATAGCTCCATTATACAATATTATTACAAATACAACAAAATGGAAACAAAATGGAATAACTATTTTTCAGGCAGTTGATTTTGATGAAGGAACGGGTGATTTAAGTTCTATGGATATAGATAATAATGGAACTATTTATATGGCTGAAACAATGAAAGATCGTATTATAGAAATAAAATTCGGTGAAACTGGTTTTTCAATTATTAATGGTAGTGATGATGTGCATCAGTTATTTCGTCCAACTGATGTTATTGTTGATCAAAAAACAGATTCAATCATTATCTGTGACGCAGGAAATAGGCGAATACTTCGATGGTCTCGTCAAAATATATCAAATAGAGAAATAGTTATTTCGAACGTTTATTGTATTGGTTTAGCATTGGATGATGATGGATATCTTTATGTTAGTATTAGTGAATTGGGCAAACATGAAATCAGACGATGGAATCTTGGAATTAATCGTACAAGCACTCTCATTGCAGGTGGAGGGACATCCGAAGATCATTTTGCACAACTCAAAATGCCAAATTTTCTGTTTATTGATGAAGATTATTCTTTATATGTGGCAGATACACAGAATCATCGTGTGATGAAATGGAGGAAAAATTCTAAAGCAGGAAGTTGTGTCGCTGGTGGAAATGGTGCCGGAACGAATCTAACCCAATTATCTTACCCGACAGGTGTAGTTGTCGACCATTTAGGTAATATTTATATTGCGGATTCAAATAATAATCGGATAGTGCGCTGGATTAAGGGTGCCAATAAGGGCAGTATCGTTGCTGGTGGAAATGGGCCGGGAAATGGAACAGATCAATTGTGGGCGCCATATGATTTGTTATTCGATAAATATGGTAATCTATATGTTTTTGATGCAGGCAATCATCGATTACAAAAGTTTTTTATTGAATCAAATTGAAACTTTTCTGTGCTTATTGTAAAGATCTTTGCTCGTAATTTCTTTTATTTCTAAAATATTATTTATTCAGAATGATTGTATTTATTTATCAAAAACTGTTTATCCGGATTTTACAATAAAAGTTTGTAACTTGTTAAGTAGTACAAAATGACACGCTTGATTTATTTATTCCCTCGACTGAAAGGAGGGTCATGTCGAAAAAAGTGGTCAACAAACGGAAATTCTTTTGTCTGTGTGTGTGTGTGTCTGTCGCAGGTCAAAGGTCAAAAAAACATTTTCTCTGAAAACGCTCAAAACTTCATGAAACATGGTTTGAGAGGGTGGTTCAGGATGGATTTTCGTTGGAGAAAGTATCGAGTTTAACTGTGATGGCGAAGGCCGTCTGAGCGCTCGAAGAGAATTATCCACGCGTGCTATACATTTATGGGCGTTGCAGTGGCTACAGGGAATCTATCTAGTCAATCAGTAGCAATGCAGGCTCTGAAAAGATTGAGATCAACCTTGAGGCTGGATCAGAGTGAAAGGAAGGGTGAATGAGAAGATATAATCTATAGGCTGGCGTGTGAAAGTGGTATTGAAGTCTATAAATGAACGACTGGAATGGAGAATGAATATCAGAGTAAAAGAAAATTAATCAAACTGCTATTGCAGAAATCAGATTCAGCAACGTCTTTGCGTACAAAAGTGCAACCGATGTAACCGTGTTGTGCAATGGAAAACCGGAAACATAAGGAGCGCAAGTGTCGAAATTTTGAGCATGTTGCTTTTTCTACCCAGTACGATTTCTCCGTATGTCATACGTTCGCCATAGATATTTCGTATTTGTCATAGAATACCCATGCTAACGGCATATACTGAAAACGCCTATATACCTGCACCAGAACTCCTGCTCCAAACAAAATCTCAGTTACCGCTCAGAGAGCTCTTTAAGACCACTCCGTATCAAACCCTCAAGTCGCCGCAGTACCAATCGCTCAACAGTCTGAACGAGTAATACCTGCATATTCATGGAAAACCCTCTCTTATACAACCACTGCCTATTATGCCGGCCACCATCTCTTACAAATGCATGAGAAATAGCACAGATTTTGATTCGCATGGAACCAGACGGCCACTCATCGCTTCCATCTTACGACCTTAGACAAAGACTACTGCATGCAAAAGAATACCCTCAAGATAATTGGGGAAAACCAGAACTTCTTCGAATCACACCCATCATGAATCTCGATATCAAAACGATATTCCCCTTATATATAAAAGCCTTCCACTTCAATCCTTCCAATAAAGAACAAAATTCGACTTTGCCATCAAATTCTCACCTCCACTGCACATATACCGATGTCGACCAAATCTAACAACCTACCCGTGACCCTTTGTCTGTCTGACAGCATAATTTCTGAGCATCACATCTCCCTTGTCACTGCGAAACACAATTTCTATTTCAAAGAAAAATTGCGAAACGATATCTACAATCCATCATCGTACAACCGACTTCCCAGTTAAGATTCTCACCAACAATCCATACATATCCAACCGGGCGTATCTGCGAACATGAAGGAGAGCATTTCTCCCTCTCGCAATATGAATTTCAACGATTGAAATACTGATTCTGACTCGGAAAGAGAAGCTCTATTTCACGCAGAATCAACAGAATCAATATCTCCGATGGTCACGAACCTCAGATCCGAATTCGAAATTTTCATTTCCTCTGCAGCCATACACATTTGCATTGTATGTGCGAACATGGAGAAGAACATTTCTTCGTGTGAGGATATCTGTGTATAGGTGAAAATGTTGAATGCGATTTCGAATTAAGTACTCTGTGTGATGGTATAATTTTGGATGGAGGATATTAGGATATAGTAATAGATAGGATAAGAGAATATTTCATTGTTGATATTCGCTACATTTTATGTATCTTTCATTTGGTTCGATCTGTAGATACACTTTTGTGTGTGTATTTGGTTTTGGAATGTGAGTTAGATGGAGATGGATGATTAGTTGGGATGAATATACTTGTGAAGGTGAAGATGCGACGTGTAATAATGGTCGGTCTGATCGCGACGGTATGGAATGGAAGCAAATGATCTGTGCACGTATTATAGATTGTTATCGCGATTATGTAAGAGATTATGCGAGCATATGTGCTTTCAGTTGAACGTGTTGAAACTAATTTCATTCATTTACTATTTCGGTTTGGTGAAGCCGGTTGCTCGTCTCTCTGTTGGAAGTCGCTCGGCATTCGCGTTGAATCGTCCTCTGTGAAATTAAAAAGTGTAACACTGTTTTGGATAAATTCCATTCATTGTAATGTCAGTTTTCAAGGTTGAAAAATGATCAGATTGACGAAATCGATGGAGATGAATTCGAGGTTTAGATAGAATGTACCATTTTTGCCGAATTGATTTCCTTTTCGTTTTGATTTAGTATGGGTCCATATGTTTCGAAAGTCTCAAGCTATGATACGCAAATTATTACATACAATTTGTCTGATGGGGCTAAATTGCTTGAACAGATAACAGCTGTTGAATTTCGCTCACATCCCCATAATCATTCGTGTCTGTATAAGTAGTTGACTGATAGCGAGAAGAGCGACGATGTCGTTGTTCTTTACGAAAAATGGTCCGACATGGACCACAAATGAACATTTCGGGTTGCAGCTGAATTCCTCGAGCATTCAGCAGAGCATGTAACCATCGATGAGTCTTTTTATTCGAAATTGATCGAAAACTAGTAGATCGGAGCGAACGATTTTTCGCGTAACATATTCGACCACAATTAACACAAGATGGACGGTCCACCATTCTTCAATTGAACAAATAACTAAACTAGCTTTGACTTCTCTTTGGAAGTTATGACCGTTATGTTTCTCCGTCTCTTCTTTTTTAGCTATAAATATATACGCGTCTCTCTCTTGAACACGTGTGATCGTTCATAGCAATACTTGTCTTCTAGTTTCAACTACCGTACTACTAGTCTATTCATTGCGTCCTATATGTCGATCGACAGAACGAGCAAAAACGATCTAGGCTGACAGTTCACGTGTCAATAGTGAAAAAAAATGAAATAATGATGAACTATGCATAAGCAATAGACCGTAGAAACAACGAATAAATGTAGAATTAACATGTGATAGAAAATACTTGAGAAAACTCATCACATTTCTACATGTGTTCATGATAAATATTTGTTGTTCGATGAATATGTGATGAATAGTGGCCTTTTGGCAGCTTTGTACGCCATCTACTAGAGGTAGTTTTTCGCGTTAAACACGAATATGCTATTATATTTTCAAGTTAATCTTGATTGGGTAGATGAAAGCGAAAAAAAGATGAAATCTCTAGTGAAAAATTGAGAAAAAATTAGGTAACAATTATCAATGCATAGCAATTTTTGGAACATTGCGCACACATTGGAGAACTATGAAATAGTCCATTTTGTAGCCTTATCTCAAGGGCAATTTCTGAGAAAGTTTGAGCCGTGGGTAGCTGTTTTTGGCTTAATACGATTTAACACACTAAAATCTATATTTATGCTTTTTTAGCAAAACGGTGTCAAACTTGCCAAAAATTCCTTTTCTTTTCTTTCCAGTATTGAGTCATCAAACGAATTGAATATCTCAGCTTGAAGCTTGTCACAAGTACTATCCAATCGTATATAAAAACTATTTTTATATGAAGTCGTTTGACTCTTATCCGAAGCAATACGATTAAGCTAATTACTATCACTTAGGGTCTTACTCACCATGAGTAATTTTCATATAACTTCTTACAAATATTTTCAAAATTAGATTTCTTATATACCAATATATGCGCCTTGAAGTGCTCTACAACATGGTATATATGGCTTCTCCAATCGGCCATAGTCGTCTTATCCGACAGGGTCCTTTCCCTAAGGATATCGATGTCCAGAATACTTTAGTTCTTGTTTTTAATTAGACTTTTCATCTATTTTTTTGTTATGGGAATGTATCGCAACAACTTCGATACTTTAAATCACGGTACGATAAAGAGGAATTCAAACTCAAATCGATTTATCTCTCTTTTAGTTGATAAACGGCATGATTTATTAGAAAAGTTAACGAGAGAATATAAACGCACTCGTTTTTTATCAACCTACAATAAACTCAGCATCCTCTCTATTATTATCTGTCTTGAAATGTACCTTGAAGATATTCAAACAAGGAGTACTTTTTTACAGATAAGCTCACCCATGTAGATAATATGCATCGTTAGAGGTATATAAAGATTTAATAAACGTCAATTTGCTCTCATACATGTATTTCACTAAAAATTTAGTTCTGAAATAGTTTAAAATATTGATAAGATTTCAGTAAAAGACAGCTATTTATCACAATCCAATGATATCGTTGAAACTCAAACGTAGATTCACTGCAAAACAATCCGTAGGGAATAATAAGCCCTCCAAAATGATTTATTAAACTGATTAATTCGTTGAGATACATTTTTTCTGTTTATTAGTGTCATAAATCTTTTGATATGACCTAAAACGTTTATCAGATTGCAACGTATAAAAGACTTTTTTTGAGTAGACCACAAGAGACAATATATCAAAAGATTTATGATGCTAATAAACGGAAAAAACATATCTTAAAGAGTTGATCAGTTTGATAAATCATTTTGGAGAGTTTATTATTCACCACAGATTTTTCAGTGTTGTACAAATCTTTTTTGACGGATACATTTGAGATACATGTACTAAATACTACAGTGGTGTGAAAAATTATAGAATCAACCTCTTCCTTCGCTTTTTTCTTGATTTTTTTCAATGCCATTGATGTATTTTCATTCCACATTTTGCACTAGTACAACAATTCAAAGATATTCTTTCATTTTTTATTCNGCGTGGTTTTACTCCGATTCAATGCCAACAGTTGGTGAGTTCGATGCCTCGCCGTATACAACAATGCATTTTATCCCGTGGTAAAACTTTTAGTAAATATTAAATCAGTATTCAATAGTAAAATTGAAAACATGACCACTGACTCTATATTTATTCACAAGGAAAATTGTGAACCGTTTTTGTTGATTTTTTTGTTATGATGAACACATGATATGTGAATTTTTTCTGAATAAAAAATGAAAGAATATCTTTGAATTGTTGTACTAGTGCAAAATGTGGAATGAAAATACATCAATGGCATTGAAAAAAATCAAGAAAAAAGCGAAGGAAGAGGTTGATTCTATAATTTTTCACACCACTGTATATATGTATAATTGAAACTTCATAATCATAATGAAGCTATAGAAGATTTAATATAATTTTTGGTTATTGATTTAAACTTTGAAAGATTTCTTTGGCAACATTCATTATGTTTTATTAAGATTAAAAATGAAAGATTGATGAGAAAAGTAAGAATTACTAACGGTTATTCTAAATGGAAGAAAAATGATAAGAATGAAATAGAAGACTTTGCAGCTGTCACCACTATATAATGACAAAACAACATGCAACGATAGACAGAAAAAGAAGAGCATATAATGTGTGTTTCTTTACTGATAAGATCGTTTTTACAGGTACGGTAAGCCTCGTAACAAGACTGAGAATATGTCTGATCAGTGATCCAATGAGATTTTCTTTCAGTGTCGGACAATCTGAACCAATTAGACTTTTAAAACTCAGCGGATTCAAGTTGGTGAACTCAAACAACTAAGAGCTAATTTATCTTAGGGTGAGAATCCGAATGGTTCAGACCGGCCTGTTTCAGCACTGATTAAGTTTTAAAGAAGTAATCAAGTCATCTTTTCGTTTATTTTATTTTTGTTATACGTTATTCTAGTAGAATATCATGTTTTTTTTTCAGAGATATGTCACAAAGAAAAGATAATAACTTAAGTGAATTGAAATCAAATGTAGATTTCTTCGTTCAAATCCCATATATGGTTGGCATAGATCTTGATAGGACTCTTCAATTATTTCTTGATGAAATTAGTGTCCAGAGAAGAGATCAAATCCATATTTACTTGTTACCTAATGCATCTATATTTGTGAGAAGATATTTTATATTCAAATTTAAAGAGAAAGCTGTCGCAAAAGTGGAAAAAAATGGTAATAATCAATTCGTTGTCAAAGAAGTTTATGATGAAAATATTATTCTCATGAAAGAAAAACTGTCAATAGATCGAATTTTATCTTATGAAAAATTATCAGAACATCATAAATTCTTACCTATATATGATGAAGATTATTATCTGTACAATGCTGATCACATAAAGCTAGCTCGAATTAGTGTTGCAGATAATGCAAAAACAGATCCAGAGACCAAATATCAGTGGTTGGTAAAGAAAGTGTGTTCAGATCGACATAAAAAACTAAAACTAGGTAACAGTCGATTAACCGTTAACTCTATACTGATATGGAAACAAATGCCAACTATTTATTATTGGCTACCGTGTTCAGTCGACGCGTATGTAAAACGCATACGTTCCATAAATATGAAGAAGTATACGGATCAGGAGAAAAGTATTGCCGAGAAGTTTTCACAATTAAACATCGTTCATCTCAAATTATACGAATGGTTAAAAGACGATGTTGAAGGACGTGAAGAAGAGATTCCATATGGAACATTTCGTCAATATTTACTTCGTGCTGCAAAAAGCGCTATGAAAGAGTTTTACCAACAGGGTAAAAAAGTCTTTCTAATGACTTTTGATCCTGATTGTATGACATTAATGATTAAACATAATTTATCTATTTTCGATATATATATCGATCATATAATCCATAACGAACATTCATTCATGATAACCAGTGGTTTTACTTTTACTGATAAAAAGTATTTTTTAAATCGTATTTATGCATTAAATCTTGAAATGCAAATTATTTTACAAAATCATTTACCTGGATCAGCTTATTTTACCGAATGTAATTCCGTTATTCGATACGATCCCAAGGTGTTTGATGACGCAGAATTTAAATTTGGTCTTCATGGAACCGAAATAATACCGATTGTAAAATACATCGCTTCAAATAAATATGAAATGACTATATTAAAGAATAATCCACTCGTAACTAGTATACCATCGCGTATCTTTGAAGTAATGGATAATGATACTGAAAAGTATGTTTTATCAAAAAGTTACTATGAAAAAATGGATAAACTGTCTCAGGTTGTAATATCAACTCATAATTTCATGTCCACTATGATAACAGGGTTATCTATCTACATAACGACAAATGAAAAGCTACGAACACATATTTCTGATCTATGGAAATTACATTGTCCATTAAAAATTTTGAAAGATGATGAAGAAACAACAGAATCCAATTATATATCGAAATTACAAGAAATCTGCGAGGAATATGTGAATGGATATTATCTAACGAGTGAGGAATATGATGCATCACTAAATGATATTTGCCAAAAATGTAAAAGAGCAATACCAAATAGACCGAGACAGAAGAAATCAGTTATGGAAGATGTCCAAGAAGATTTAGTAAAACGATGTATAAAAATCGCTCAAGAATGTGGAAAACTTTGTGCACGACATATTTTACAATGGATTAATGATGACAGAAAAAATTATAAATAATATTGATTTTATAACTTAGAAATTTACATAATTAATATTTTTCAACGAATTGATTTTCTTGTAATGGTTTCAGTTTTTTTCCTTCGGTATTTTTTTCTCGAGATTGTCGATGTTGGGCGAAAGTGTGAGATCAGCACTTGATCTATAATCATATTCACACTCTCAAGAAATGATTTCATAATTAATGATTTAACCGTTTGAATAAAGACATTAAACAAGACTAAACAATACGATCTTATTACCTTGTTGTAATGACAAACTGGTTGAGTAGCTGACCGCTTCTCACGGTATCGATGTTTATTGACTACTCTACATGACCAGAATGTCTCTCTTTCACAATAAGACACGCGCTTATATAGAGAAGAGGAAAGAGAGATATGACCCGGAGATAGTATGATATAGAGGTGAGAGAATAAAGAATAGAAAG